CCCCCCCCCCCCCCCCCCCCCCCCCTCCACTCTCCATCGAGCTCTACAGTTCCATCGAGCTTTGAATCCTTGGGCAAGATTTTAGATTCTACATTTTAATTAAAGTAACAAGTATCAGTGTGGCAACATAATTCATTCTATGACCATTTTAGTGACTACTCCAATAGCAGAGTACTTTTTAACAAATTGAACCAACTGCTTATTTTTAGCAAATTGCGCTCGCCCATTCACTTCAAAAACCCCGCCCACTGCTAACCTACTCCCTACCTCTCAAATCGCATTGCATGGAGCAAATGTTGATGATTACGTTATTGCACGACACACGAAGAAAGGGTGTTCCCTATAAACTTAGCTTTCAACTATCAAATTCTTGCTATGGAGATGTTCCAAAAAGTATCCGATTGCAGAAAAAAGAAATCCAAAGCAGTTTCCGTAACATGGAACCACATACACAGAGTAAACACACAGAGGGAGATAAAAGACATGGTCAAAGGGCTATTAACCACTGAGAGACTGAAAGACAAACTCAAAAACTTACTATGAGATCTGAAAAAAAGACTTACAAACGAGCAGGGTTAGTATTTCGTTCGTTTTACAGCCAAGCAATCCATTTAGGACCCACAGTCGAGATTACTGTGTTTGTGGTTTTGTGGATTGGGAAGTCTACTGGTCTATTACCATTTCATATTCCCTGGAAGTTCCCATTACCTCCATTGGTGAGTGTGTTTCATCCAGGGTTCAAAGATAAACTGTTGAATTCACTAGATCAGTATTAGGATGAGTTTTGTTAAACTTACATAGACTTTCTCGAGGGAACAACATCTTGTTTCTCCTTCAACGCTACTTCCACACAACAGTAAACAACAACAACTCTGCCTGCAGACTTTATCATTGTATCCCTACTATACACAATTACTGTACAACACCATAGAGGCTAGTTACCCGTACGTTTTGTCAACGGGTTGCAATACCTATAATGTTAGAAATTATCAGACTAGAACCAATACAATCATCACTACATATTGCATTCTTAAACTGGTCACGTCACCTAGACTGTCTACGATTCTTACATATCCATGTACGAAACACGCAAAATCAAATTGTACTCACTACTATATGGCACCAATTTCTAAGAAAACAAAAATGATTAGGAATTTTGGGATCGCACGTTTCAAAAGACTCTTCCACGCCGCGGACCTTCATGTCCAGGCTATGAAATTATGCGACTATTGCGTAGGTCGATAATGCAATGGATGTTCGGACGAGATCATGGGCAGAGAAGGTGAATGGAGATGTAATCGGACCGGGAAACGTTTTCCGGCAATGTCCAGTTCGTACACACCTTTGTTCAAGAAATCGTGTGATATTCCAAATTCGTTGTTCTCCACGTAGGCAGTGCACACCTAGAAGGTAAACGTTTAATTTGGTCTAAGAGGGAGAGCCAAAGTCGATAATAGCAACGCACCTGACATCCTAAGGTGAAGCCATATGCTGCTGAGGTCGTTCTACCAACAGGCTTCCCGTCTCTGAAATCGTTTAACACGAAAATTATGGGAGCAGAAAATGTAGTTGAATTAAAATTTTAAAATCAAAAATTGAAATGGTGAAACCCAATTCTACTTCAACCAAATTTTAACATCTATCAGGCTCATTGCACTTTTGCAGCAAAGCTTCGGTGTTACATTAATCACACGGAAACCAACTCTCATCACTCAAACTCGGCTCGTGATGTGTCGAAAGTTTATTTTGCAGCTCGCAGACGCTACTTAACCTTGTACCCTCGCAACCAATGCCTTCAAACAATCGGTTGGCGACAGCCAGAGAAAACCAGTTATGGATTGCAGACTTCGACGATTAAATAGGAACTCGTGAGACAAAGTATGGCAAAAAGGAGCGTGTGAAAGCCCAACCAGAAGTTGTAAAATTACATTCAAATTGCGACTTTGAAAACAAAAAGCTGAAATTTTGACAAAATATATATGTGGATTGAAAGTTTTCATACTGAACTGCGATAAAGTTTCGCTGTTCAGTTTTTCCCTTCCGGAAGGTCGTGAACCACTTTTTGTGCACCCTGCGCTATTTATAGGCGATTACACATATCGAAGCAATAAAATGACCTCTTACTACTGACAGCACCACAATATACTTTAAAATTTGCGATTTTATAGCTCGGAACCGGTTACGTCCCCATTATGTCGGAAGACATTACTCACTTCATTCTACACCCATGAAATATACTGCTACGACAAGAACTCCGAGTCTGATTTCACATGAGCCCTTGATTGCTCCTCTATACTTTGAGGATAAGACACACAAAACCATATTTAGCCCAAGTCCTACACATAAACGAATCCCATCTTCCTGCCCCTTTGGCTTCTGTCGTACCCTTTTCCAGAAAATCTGATCACTGTAGCCGAAAATGTGGATTTCAGTGGAGATTCAATGGTTGGAGGACCATTCAGGCGTCAACCTCCCTCCTACTTGAACATGATTTGAGGTTTTCTCAACCATTAACGTTCCGCTCACCTGAACACAATTTCACCTCCTTGTGGCCATGGATCCGTCTCTTTGTCATGATTATCCACCAGCAACTGCACAAACCTCTTTGAAACACCACGGTCAAGCTGCTTCATAAGAGCTTCCTTGCCAATGAACTCTTTCTGAAACTCAGAGACTCACTGAACACGTCCATACTATTACATTGTATTAACAGTAAGTTAGTCTACATAAGTGACTACGTATTACATCAATTTACAACTAGGACAAATAGCATTCTAAAAGCAACAAAATGAAAATCTTTAGGGTTATTGTGCACATTTCGCTGTATGAATGGATAGAAAACGGTAGGTGGGTTTAATTGAACGTACTGTGAAGTCAACCCGGAAAGCATGTCGCAGCGCTTCATAATCGTCTAGCTGCAATCAAATACTCTTCAAATGTCCCAAAGTCTGGACGAAAACACAACGTATCGAACGAAAATGAGTCGCCTTGCTCACACGGGCAAACTTGACGTACGAAGCTCTTATAACCAGTACTTCTTTCATTGCATTCATTGATCGCTCAGTTCGTTTCGTTCGTCGACTTTTCATAACTCACAGGAGGAGACATTGACAAAAATTCAACGTACCCTGAAATCCACACGGAACGATCGGCCGCATTCAACTGGAGTCACCGTGGCGTTGATGTCGTCTCCCCAGTACACATAGAACTTTTCGATTCTAAGCTGCCGTAGAGCGTAGTAACCGGAGTGCATCAAACTGTACTCTCGTCCAGCATCGACTATTCGTTCGTAAACGTTCTGCGCTACCTGAAAAAAAAGATGTGCCTACACCACATCAAACTCGGCTGGCCCTGGTAGCCGTCTGCAAAAGGAAATAGTTGCCAGCTGATCGACATTCTTCAGCCATAAAATCGTCACGCGGATTTAAGGTCAATCGAATCGAAGTAATTCAACAAGAGCAAACCTCATTCGGTATATAAATAACCCATCCAAGTTCACCACAATGCGTGACACTGATTGCTCGAATACCAGTAGCCATGCCAATGTTAATTTCCTAAAGCAGTAGTTAATGTTGTGCTTAAGCTATTTTACAATTACTCGCTTCATTTTACTCTTTGGTGACCGGAGTCCAAAAAACCGCTGAATCACACGCACAAAGGGTATGAGTTTACTCCGGGTATGGGTTGACACACTATATCTACGATGGCGCTCACATGGATTGCCGCAATACGTAATACTACCTACCTGACATCGGAATGCCGGAAAATCTTGACTACTCATAGACATCTCTGTCACGTCTGCCATGAGGTAACGAGATGACGGCCCTACAACGATCAACGTTGTGTACATGCCTGTCACATCCTGAAAACAAACATATAACTGTAATGTTGAATTGTACACTTAGGAGACAATTAACACATTCATCTATGTCAAGGTGGCCTCGAGTGAAATACAGTATTCACAGATGCAGTACTGAGCGGAAGGGAGGTCCTTTTAAATAACATTTCCAACGAGGTGTAAATATAAAACCCGGAAAACCTCACTTCATCAGCTTATTGCATTGACTTCAGCTTTATTAGTCCACATGAAGCGATCTTATTTATTAGTCCACATGGAGCGATATCATGGACGCAACTGTATATGGCAAAGAGCAAGGTGAATTAAGGAAGATTTGGCGTCACTTTCCATTGACGAGTTCTCGCTAATACACAGTATCAGACTTAGTTGGTGGCAACGTCTGGCACTGACAATAACGAAAGAGCCAATGAGAATTGCTCTTCCTCTCCTGTTTTACTGAATTTGAGAAGCTCGCGCAATTAAACTCGTAAAATAGTGAGCTAAGAGCTATGAGACTCTTTCAACTTGACAAATTCACACCTGAATATGGACATTGGCGTTCATTTTCTTGATCCAGTACTTCATCCACGCTATGCAACGTTCCTGTTGAATCGTTGGTGCGATCAAGAAGTAACTGTAAAACAATTCTAATCAGAAAGGCCAGTAAGCAATGTAAATATGATAACGTTAAGGTATTGTAGATTTCTACACTGAAAAAGGTTTACCTCGTATCAGAGAGCCTACTCAGAGTACAGTCGGTCACATATCCACCTTGCTCATGCTGCATACCCGAATATATTGTGGTACCAACCGGCCTGTCGATATCTGCTGAGCAAAGGTACTGTAGGAACTTCACTGCATCGGGTCCCTAAAGTAAAGGATCGTCCTGTCAACTAGAGATGGAGGAAAATTCATTCATTATATACCGTCACATCGAACTTGGTAAAGCTGCTCATATCGATCAAACCCACTCGCTCTCGACACGCCTCATATTCTGCTGCGACTCTGGAAAGGTTACGGTGTTCATCGGAGTGGAAAGAGGGAAACAAATAGGCTACGTACTCATCGAACCATATGGGTTTCCCATTTAATGAATCCTGTCCCATAAACAGCGCATTGCGATCAGGCTTAGGTTCCTTCTCATACCACAGCGGACGTTCGTAGCTGAAAATTTCTCTTGAGGCTCTATTCCGAAGGCCTTCATCACACTAACTGGTGAAACCGTACAGCTCGCAATTATTTTAAAAAGGACAAAGCGTATGAAAATAATATGATAGCTTGAAAGTATATTCAATGGTGTAAGGTCGTCGTGGGTTGGAGTGAATCTGAGGGAGCAAAATTAGGGAGTGAGCGTATTTTCACGGTATGAGCTCGCCTTAGGTTCAATAGGCAAGCTCATAACGTTGAAAATACGTTTCAAACTAATCCGCAACCTACAGGCCTGACCAAGGTAGGAGAATCTAAGAAACATTCGAGTTGTAAAGGATATCATACTTATTCTTGTGAGCAAAAGAAATAGAGAAAGTACCCCATGATTTCACCGAACACGGCGCCAGCGTCCCTCAGTTGATGGTAGATAGGCGACATACGAAGATTACGTGCTGTGTGACATTGATGTGAATTGTACATATTGCTGTATGTCATTGCTGAAAATAGCGCTAGAATAGAGTTTGAAGATCTACACTGTACATTAAGCGCCTAGCCATGCCACATTCAAGCCTACAGTGCTTACACAGCGTTTTTACAGGCTCTAGTTAGACTGGTTTCCCAGTTCTCACCTTCAACAGACATCCACATGTACTCCCTAGTTCTTCGATCTTCCCATATCCCAGTGTTGAGGTGAACTCGGATGTGGGAGGATCGAGGAACAGAAGAGTACATCTGGACGTCTGTTGAAGGTGGGAACAGGGAAACCAACGTAACTAGGGCTTGTAACCCCTTCTGCGAATCTACAACCTCCCGTTTCTACTGAAAGCTCGAACTGTGCCATCGAATCAACAGATCCCCTTTCGTTTTGGTGGATGCTTCGTATAAGCGTACTGTTGACTTTGCATTGACCCAAATGTCACGAACAGGATCAAACAAACCCGTTAACCATAAATTAAAGTTAATTGAAAATAGAGCGACTCCTATCGAAATCTTACATGCAATCTCCGGTGTTCTTTCCATTAGATATTGTGAGTTAGCGTGAGCATCAAGAAAACGTGCTACGTCCAAAAACGCTACGTCAAGCTTTGGTATTTCTTCACAGATCCACTCTGCCAACAGTTCACCAACTCCTCCAGCTAGCGCCATCCCTTGTCCGTTGAAACCATTCATTACATAGTAACCATGTGCCTATAAGAAACTTTCCAGTTGACTTACTGTTCAAATGCCCCTTACATATTTCCGTTAGCTTACCTGGCTGCTTTGACCGATGGTTGGAGCTTTGTCGGGGGTATAGGACTCCATGCCACAAATTAGGTCTCCATGCTCAATTTCTCCGAGCATGGGACATCGGAACAACATCTTCTCCAAAGTTGAACCTAAAGTGGGTCTTCATTACACAGCTGAAACATCAAAAAGCCGAATACACACACAAACCATATAAATCCCAGTCTGGTTCAGGATGATGCCAAACACCATGTGTAGCGCCTTGTCGAGCCAACGGACGAATTCCGTCTTCCAGGAAACCAGCACACAGGGTTTTGAAGCCGGTTGCACGAATCATTATCTTGCCATCCAGGTCGTTGAATACTGGAAAAATCAGATAAGGCAATGATTTTGAGCCGAAATGATCCCTTCGGTCAAGGTGGCGTAGTGGTGTGCTATCACACACGCATGGTTCGAGATCGAATTCCGGATCAATACCGTCCGAGCAAACCAAGCCTTCCATCCCCTCGAGGTCGATTTATTTTGGGGTTGTAGGAGTCGACGTATCCCAATACGGGATGGCTTATTGTTAGGCCAAAAACTTTATCTTTTATTGGTTCCTTCACCAAATCCATCGGCCTCATGTAAAGATAGCCGCAGCGCGACCGTATCCGCTGGCCTCACTTTATAGTGGAAGGGTGGGACAAGGTTCAATTCTCCTCATAAAACCCAATACAAAAATAATTGGAAATAAATGGCAGAAAATAGAAGAGAAGGACAAAATCGAGTGGATCGTTGATTGAAGCCTTAAAACTCACTTGGTGTGTTATCGCTAACACTTCCGGTGGGCAATTTCGTGCTATGAATGTAGGTGTACGTACACGGATAGGCAGCCGTCTGGACATGTCGGTATGGCAATTGCTTGACTGTCACGGATCCAGTCCACTGGAATATGAATTTTTTGAGAAACAAACGAATTCCTTTGAGTTATAAGGATACTCACAATTCCACTAGCATCCACGAATACCGGAGTTTCAACTAAGCCGCTACTGGTATTGACAGCATACACCTGGCGCTCGTCTCCGAGGAGGACTTCTTGCACTGCACAGTTTTCGAAGATCTGAGCTCCTAAAGGAGGCAATTTGAACTATTAAGAGAACAATTCGCTAAATTTGATTGACAGTGGGTTGCGCAAAGGCAGTGTACAACTCGCTGACAAAACTGGAAGCATTACCTGCTGACTGCGCTTGCTTGGCAAGTTCTTGGCAAAGGGCTACTGGATCCAATGCAATATCCTCATGCGAATGCAAGGCCAGCTAAAAATCGTAAACCCAAATCGACCATAGCGAAGTAATCGAGACTCTCCAAGTGCATTCAAATTTCTACCTGTATGTCTTCCGTTTGTAAGAAAGGCCATCGTGATAACATTTCACTTGGGCAATCAATAAGTTCAACATTACAGTTAGGAATTGCTGCTCCTTAAATTTAGGATACTACTCTGGATTAAGAAATGCAAAACTCAAAAAAAAAAAAAGAATCGACAGTTTCCTTTCATTACAGATTTTAGTTGTAAGAAAGCGGGAACAAAGTTTTTAAAGAAAATTCGAAGAGGGCGATAACACCAGTACCCCAACTAAATGAATCACAACTGGTATAAGGAGGTTCCGCAATTGACTACCCCATTTGGAAGACAGGATATCACGTTTTATGGTGAGCAGCGGATGTGCAGCTCACCATAAAATAGGAGAGCTGTGGCTACGTTCCCTAATTATGTAAAACTCTCAAAGCAAGAAGGAGAATGGGAAGAAGAGGAGGATGAGGTTGTATGTTCATTAGCCTATTCCACCGTCCAAACACCACTTTTCCAAGAAGGCTGCCTAGACATCCGTGGACACCGAACCGTTTTTGCCCTACTACAGACAGAGAATTACATTGCAACTAGGGAGGTGGGGCGACTTATGGAGATGTATTACGATCCTGATTATTTAACTGTAGAATCCGAGGTCTGCACTGAGAAAATATAGGATTCACTCATATTCACATTTGCTAAATCGGCACGATAAATGACTGACTCATTACCTCTAGAGTACATTCGCCTCAATAAAATTTCGTTCGGCATCGTTGATGCCATATATACTCTGCCGCATTTCGTGAATTCTGAAACGAAAAGTTGTATAGTGCAGCAGAGAAGTGACATTGGCCCTGTGAACTTTTCACAACGTCGACAATGAGACGTCAACCGCAGTTACTACGTTGAAATTTGCTGATCACTAACTGAATCGTCCAAGTTGAGACAGTTTTGTATACAGTTCCATGGATCTACGAGCCAGATGCTGTTTAACAGGGCTTTGAAAGAAAACTGGGGCCGTGACGAGGCCGCCGCTGACACCAGTTGCTCCGCCGCAGCCGACTCTAAAACAATGTACTTAAGAACAGTAGTACTGTGACACACTTCAAAGGTCAGTTCATTGGGATACCGAATAGTACGCATAAAGTGGAAGCGCTCTTTCATATAAAACTGAAGTAACAACTGGTCCTATGAACAACTGTGACTTTATGACAAATAGTAATGTGGAAGGAACAATCTTTCCAGCTCCTCGTCTTACTCCACGAAGTTCAGCACTTTCCTCGTGACGAATCATCGCCAGAGAGGAAAACGAGTGCCGACCTACCTATGGGCTTCATTAATAGCACTGGAACACGAAAAACTTAATCTAAAGAACACTAAAAAAAATATTTTATCTAAAAAAAAGAAAGCGGAGCGAGTAAGGCTATTGTAACTTTATCCATTAGCATAAAGCTTAGAAAGCAAGATCGCCTCCCACGCAAGTATGAACGTTCAGCCCGAAACTCATATGCGTCTAACTCCCAGTGCAAATCGTCAAAGCAGCAAAAGAAAGTTACACGAAACCTCTTGAAATGAAGCAGTAACTAGTGTGACTATGAGCTGAGATATACTACCATGAACGCCATTGAAAATAAGGAGCGTATAAATGTATGAGCGCGCTAGAGGCGCTGGTTAAACAATAACATGGACTAATGGTCAGGATCGAATAAAATCAAGTTAGTTTGAAAGAACTCAAAAACTGTAATTGTAACTCACGCATCCTTCTCGAACAGGCAAACATTCTTTCCTCGATTTGCCAAGTGATATGCTACCGATGTTCCAGCGATTCCACCTCCACAAACCACTACATCAGCCGTAGAAGCGAACTTCCTGAGACAATTATAAATGAGCAGATCATGAAAGATAGGTGATAAGCTCAAAAGCCCTTAAAATGATATCTATACCGTACGTTGCGTTATGACGTCTAGATATCAAACATACTCGGCCGCCTCGTCGAAGAACCGAAAGCATCACATCAAAATATCAAAATAAATAAACTGAAACAAGGTTCATTCATGATCACGCATATCATCAAGCTGCTACTACTTAGAAAACAACAAAAGGACACAAAAGATAATTGAAGGAGTAATTGGTTATGTACCAAAGTAGCATGACCGGAAGAGAAGTGTAACTTAGCGAAGCTTTCATTGAAACCACAATCAAAATCACAAACGCGATGAGATAACAACCCTTAGAAAGAAGTACGAAAACAATAAAATGACATTGAAAAGAATGATGAAAACCCGTAACCCATGGGATTGTAGAAGGAGGTAAATATCCAGCGACTGAGTTTGAAAATTTGCAGATCAAGCTAAGGGAATGGAAAAGTATACAAAAGTCGGTATAAAAGATTCCGACGCCTACGACAAAATACAAGCTATTGGGAATGATTTGCCCATCATTAAGCCACACTCTTCTATGAAAATACACAAGCAAAAATAAGAAACTGCTTCAAGCTAATCTCACAACACTGTCCGGAAAAATATGCGCTTCAGGCAACTGATAGTCGCTTTTCTGCTTCAATCCGAGCTAAAATTTTCAGCGGATCTTCTGCCATAGCTGAGCGACCATTCTAAACTGGGCATTTTGAGGAGAGAAAAAAAAAAGATTTGTCCCTGCAGCTATACTGTACGAAAAAAAAAATCAAAACCGAATCGAACGAAAATAAAACTGTATAAACGAATGCTGTTTTTCAGAGGGAGGTTTTTGCCAGAAAGACTGCTACCTATACTTTCAGCTGGTCAGAATCTGTACTTAAAAAGAGAGACAAAGCTGTTTCCATGATGGTCAGGCCTCTGAAAAANAAAAAAAAAAGATTTGTCCCTGCAGCTATACTGTACGAAAAAAAAAATCAAAACCTAATCGAACGAAAATAAAACTGTATAAACGAATGCTGGTTTTCAGCGGGAGGTTTTGCCAGAAAGACTGCTACCTATTCTTTCAGCTGGTCAGAAATCTGTACTTAAAAAGAGAAACAAAGCTGTTTCCATAGTGGTCAGGCCTCTGAAAAAGCTCCCACCAAAATGGCATCAAGGTGTTCCAAAATGCTACTTGGCAGGCTGGAGACCAGGCGTCCGTGTCGGACACCGAGTAAAATTCAATAGCTCTTTTGCTCAGTTTTTGCACGGTCAGTTGCGCAACAAATGGTAGCACAACTGACCCGGTGACAAGTGGCGTTACTGAGAGATAAATTGGTCCCCTTCTACAGACCAGACCCGCAGGATTTTTTTCAAGTAAATCATCATATAAGCAATGTTAGTGTAATTGACGGGTTATACGAAGGAAAGCACCACGGGGAAATAACGAATGTCAACATGAAACTCTTCCGGCGTGTTTCTACAATGAATTACGCTCTATCCTAATCCAATCAATCAGCCGAGTGGCTGTTGATTCAAAAAATCAGTTTTTTTTACCAGACATGACACTGCGGTATAGAAACCTGCCGAGATGGTGAATATAGTGCAGGAAAGATTATGATAATTCCAAAGGGCAAGTTCAGGATGTTCCCTCATTGCAAATGGTATCTGTCGTGCTTTTTCGTTCTTCCAAACTTCTAGGTATGCTCAGAAACAGTTGGTGTTTACGATGGATTTTTTGCAAGACATTCATTGATTTCCTGTGCCCCAGAGAACATTGGTATTGGTACTACGCATTCAAGATTTAAGCAAAGAAACTGATTCATCCGCCTTATTCATGTAATCAACAATCCTCATGACCTACAGCGAAATCCCTCCACTTGAAGGGAACAATAATTTAGTTAAAAAGAAGTTGGTTCGTGCCAAACGGCGCACTACTACACGTGTGTTCCGCGGGTAGACCATGGACGACCTAGGGTTCCGATCGTTGCCTATCTCCAGGATCGGTAAGCTTCGGGTTCGACTGATCCATGCAAACTATTGTATAAGTCACATATGCATTATAACGACCCCGCTAATTTGAATGGAAGTCAATTAGGGAGAGGCATGCTTGAGAGGAATTCAACAACTCTAGAACTTATTACAACTTATACTTCCCAATTTAGTAAACGTGTGAGTCAGTTTGGAATTCACCAAACTTTGGGATGGGATGGTGATTGAAATACGATTTCCAATAAATAAATCGGGTAAAAGGATTGAAAACAAATCTGTTGGAAAAACATATAGAGTTCCCAACAGTATTAATCGAACTGCTTTGCGAATAACCTCACAAACATACACGTAAATTAGCGCACCTCATCCACAACCTGTGCATCTTCGTCGTCCTGCGCTTTGCGTAGTTCATCAATCAATCGGAATGCGTCTGATGACCGATTCAACTTCGAGTAAACGAACACACCCAAAGCCAGTACACTTCTCTTGTATAATTCATTGGTCGTTGTGGATGCTCTTATCTCCTAAATACCTGTCCATCAAAGCAATAAATCCAACATTCCGAATGAGCTTGACCTCAATCTCACACTCTTCGCCCCCCCCCCCCCCCCCCCCCCTCTCCTGTGATCCTTTTCCAAACACCTATAAGGGCAACTCCAAATTCCCAAATATGAAACATCTATTTATCTATTCTATAGCTATTTTATGCAAAATACTTCACGTTATCACCCAAATTGTCAAGTACCGCCAGCTTGATGTATCACACATTTAGTTAAGGTAAAACCGATGAATGTTGAGGAAGGAAAACGAAGAATATAATTTACAAACGGTGTACTCACCTTGTAGAGGGCTTCGGCCTCTTCATATTTTCGATTGGCACAAAGAACTATACATCGGTTAATAACTGCCCATATAGGATAGGAACCGCATTCTCCAGCTTGCCTCTCAGTTCCATCAACGCTCATCACTTTCAGAGCGATATCGAACGGACCGGTTGACACCATACATTCCATCTGGTAAAGAAGTCATGAAGACGTATGTATGTAGTGACAGATATGATATATCGAGTTGGCTTGCACTACTTGTTCGGGCTCACTCGTGCTATCGCAGTTGAGCACCGTATATTCTTGAATTTCAAAGTACCCTCTACAAAATAAGCCTCTTCAGGACTTCGTCAGGTAATGCGTGATTCACACGCACCATACGTTTCATAGAAAGTCAGAAAATGAATATTAAATAGCATAGGAGAAGAAATAGTACTTGTAATAGCAGAGGATTTCATAGATATCAGAATACGCTTGCAAACCGGCATGACCACCTTCGAACCCCTACTATCCCTATGCAAATAAATGTGGTAATGTGAAGGACAGGTCACAATGAACACAAAAAGTCAGCATGCCTGATGCTACTTCTCGTCTGAGAACAAGTTCATGAGGTAAAAAGGAATTCTTTACTATTTTAGTAAAGAAAAAGTATTTAATACCCACCAAATACATCGAAGCCGTCATGCTGCAGTTACCAATCGACTCTTCTTCATCAATCATTTTATGGGCCAAATCCGCTGCATAGCTGAAACTGGATCATTGTCCCTTCACCCACGAATTTCATAAGCTATTATTATGGGAAGTAGAACTTTTTTTTTTACAATTCTACCTTCTACACGGAAAAAAGCAGGGCAGGACTCATCTTTCTATCATCGGTGAGCTCTGTGCTCAACGGACGGAACTGCTCAAAACAGACTTCAAACATCTCCCCACAAAATCTAGACCGACATGATAAACTATGTACTATGACCTAGAATGTCGGTATCAACCGTATCTTGCAGCCCTACCTGTTTACCCTTGTGGTTCAAATGGGATTATTGCAAAAGCTACATTATACTCTACTTAATGGCCTCCCAATTCGTTATTTCTACCTGAGAAGTAAGACCCTGTGCTAGAACAAAAAGAAATGTGCACTAAATACTGCACAGAAACAGGACAACCAAAAATTTAGACAAAAAAATTGCAAAGCTTTGGAAAGGAGCACGTAAAACGTACGTCCCAGCCCAAAATAAAGGAGTACAAGAGAAAGTACAACCGTAAGTCGACGTACTGATATCGTCCCATCTTCAGTGCAACGAAGGCGGCGAGGGACAGACTCGTGATGCGTAGTTTTCGATTCGATGTTTTTCTTGTAAGGGAAAGTAATACACCAGCAATACTCTCCAAATAATCTTCTGTTATTCCTGCTTGATCAGCGATCCTGAAAACGCAAAATTGAAATCTCAAATTTAAAAAGTTGTCAGAGTCAAAGGCGAAAAAAATTTAAAATGCAAATGTTATTACTGTGCATAGAATGCAGCCGACGGCCGTCCAGAGGAATGGTGGTAGGTTTTCGGAGCAAGAACAACCCTACGCGTTCTACCAGAGCCATAGACATTAAGGATTCTGCCTTCATTAATATTGTCCTATAAGGAAATGAAATCACGATAAGCTAAACCAATTATCAGTAGTAAAGGATGAAATGAAGCTGAAGCAAACCCCTACTACTCAAAAAATCGACAGAGTATAAACGGTTATAAATATTGATTGAAGAAAAGTAAACAGATTTTAAGATATATGAGGGAGCAGAATCAGAAATACACAGCGTAAGTCAACGAACCCACTCTGTAGTACAAAAGTCGAATGCCAATTTCAATGATTCGAACCCATATCAATGGTGTATTGCAGAAGAACGGAATCAGTGGTTGTAGGCAATGTAAAGCTAAGGAAAAATTGCCCTTTCGTTGTTCAGTAACACCTTTGCGATAAAGAAGGAATACTTGGTCCGCCGTTAACTGAAAATGCACAAAAAGGTAATTCATTACTGGCAGTAGTTCTATGGATTCTACAAATATCAACCGTATTGGCCACAAAAATATTGGGTGCTTACCTCCTGACGTTTCTCCGGGCATTTCGACAACGAAGAATTGATAGACGGTGTTGGCATGTAATCAATTCTAAAAGTTAGTGTAACCATAAAAAACCGCACCAAAGACATTATTCTACAGATCAAAAGGCTTGGCTGAATCTCTAATCAGCTTATAGATACAAAAGTTCCAAAAAATGAGAAAGAGAGCCAGGAATTTCCGTGTACGCAAACTATGAACCCAGATTTTTTTCGGAGCATCGGTTACTACCGTAATCACGAGAATCGAGCGCGAGCATGAAAAGCACGCGTCGTTATTTCCTTATCAATACCCTTTTGTTTTCATGTGAAATCGCCGTGGTGTGGGTAACTTTGAACTTTCATGGCTTTTTCTTTTCACTGATAACATTTTGCTATCACTATTTTCAGGGGAGCCGAAAATAACGCCACTGATCAGAAAGTCCTTAAGCGCAACTAAATAACAAAATAGGTAAGGACGACTCTTGCTATAGAAATGGGTGAAAGTAGTTGGGGGACCGCGCTCTTGTGAATCATTGACGGCTAGAGCGCAGAGAAGGGAGGGTAACCGCTTCGCGAGCCTACAATGGTGCTTAGGAACGTTTCATAGCTTTTTTATTATATAAATGTTTTTTTGTTTTGAAGAGAAGGAGCTCCAGGGTGGATGAGCCAATTTGATGTCCAATTCTTATTTCATCTCAGTGTTTTGGGCGAAATAATCATCTCACCCACCACGAAGCTCCTCCCCTTTTGAAGTTAGGTAAGAGCAATTTTCTTTTGGCTAAAAACCATCTCCAAGAGCACAAGTAAGGTTGGCTACTCCTCCTCTGCGTTCCAGCCTTCCATGATTCGGAAGGCGCTGCACCCTTCTCCCAACTACATTTTCACCCAGAACTGAAAGATCTACGATCACAGAGCTGAAAAGGGGATTAACGATTATTCAAAGCTGCTGTTCGTATAGAAAAATACCATAATGCTGTGTCATTACTATTGTCTACGAATGAAATCACATTCACAGGTGTTATTCATGCATTCCTCAAATTGTATTGCTATATATAATGCTTCGAAAAACGGGACTCCCACTCAAATAGAGTTGTAAATCTGTTATCCATTATTTTTTCCTTTCTTTATCTTCTATGGGACTTGCGCTCAAGCCCTACACACCGGTCACATTTTCATTTTCGTAAGACCATCAAAAAAGAAAGCCCTCAAGACGAAATGACAAAGTAAAGGTACAGGTAAGGTATTAGGAGTGAGATAGTAGAAAGTGGGAGAATGTTCCTGTCCGGAAGAGTTTGAAGAGTCTGAACAGGACGCGGACCATGACGCGGAAACCAATTTTAATCAGGCTTTTGGCATGGTAGAACCTCCAGAAGGATTAGATTTGATACAAATGTGATATCGATCAATACGCATCTTCATCACAAGTAGCCGCTTTCCACTTCCACTGAGTTCACAGTTCCCCATTTCCACGCTTTCGCGATTCAACGATTATCCGAATGGACACCTATGACTCGTGGTTGTGGAATGCACAATGCAAGCTATTAAACATCAGTATTATGGGTACAATTATAGTGGATAGGTAATTTTATGCGTTTTTTTCGATCGATACATATCCCCTAATCCTAATGAATCAACGATCTTCCAAACGTGAACGCTTTCCAATGGAAGACCCATTTACCCACCGTAATCCCTGCCCAACTCAGGGAGTCGTTTCGGGAATCTTCAGTATCAGCTAGTTCTAACGAGCTGGGAAAAGGTGTAGATGTTCTAATGTACTTCTGCGGAAATGTTTTTGGAATGCTAATTAGGATATCTGATGAATTATAAATAGGATACCATGAACTTGTTCCAGCAAATTCCTGGCCCATTGCATTCCGTGCTCTCATAAAATACGCCCGAACCCATTTGCAGGCCTATTCGGCCTACAAATAACGATCCATGCAATTATGTGGAGGACGAACGACGTCCAATTACCATTATTGATGTCTCATGCAACGAACAAGCAGCTTCCACACGACCGACGGCTTCGGGCATATCCTCCCAGACATTTTTGGCGGTGCTGTTTGAAGAGAGCAGCGCCGCCAAAAGCGCCGTGCCTGGCGCCATATTGCACCATTATTGATCCCATTCGTGAACGCAGAATGTTTCGACGACTCTGCTTCTCTCTCTTTACGCTCCATACTTGTCTTCATCTTGTTTTTCACCAATTTCCAGATTATTTTGATGCCTTTGTAATTGGGTGTCTGCGAAAAGTCGCCCCAGCATATGCATATGCAATGACCTGGCATTCGTTATGCTTCGTTGAATCTTAATGTCCAACGACTTGAATGACTGATCGATGGTGCATTTAAAGAGGAATCTAAAAAACGTTCGCTATGGGCATTGCGTTCTGAATTTCTATTCGTGGAATGTTCGGAAAAATTAAGACGTTGGAAATATGAAAACATCAGAATCTCAGTGGCGATTTTCTGAGAGACATCATTCAGAGAATGTAAAAAATAGAATAACTGGAACTGATAAAAGTGTCAACACTGATAATGTCGCAAAAAATACCATAAAAGATGGCCAGTTCAAATTCAAGTGGGCTTTTTTTGCAACATTTTGAGTCTGTTCTATTATTATTTTACTTTTCGTCTTAGCTAGCTTAACAACTAATTTTTCTAGCGTTTCCTAACTTCTCCAAATAAGGGAAACTCTTTGCAATTGCCTTAACTAGTGGACATTTTTGGATTTGCTGGATTTCTAATCCGAATTCTGAGGAGCCATTCCATTCTAATGAGCACTTTCGGTATTTCTAATGAAGTTGGTAGCATTTATCGAGCTCGTTAGAGCAGAAATGCCCTTTTGCACCAGAGTACTTTATCGAGACTAAACCTGACATTGCGAAATCCTAAGTTTTGCTTAAAAGCAGTTCCTACATGTTGCATAACGTGATTTGGTAGTTTTGGTGTGAATATGAATACATAGTGGGGTCACCTACCACTAGAATAACTCTATTGTTACTTAATATTGGTGGTTTTAGCAGAATTCCCAGTTCAGATGAAAGCTTTCTATTGCCAACCCTCCGTGACCCAGTTGAAATCCGCGCCCCACGGCCAACTTTTAGATTTGCAAGCACGCCGTCTACTGTATTTTCTGGTTCGATGTCCCAAATTTCGCGGCGTACGCTATTCACTCTTTGCTCGCCGTGATTGCGTGTGGTTGGTTGTGAGCTGTCGTCGTTATTTCTAGCTACAGATTGTAAATTGTAGAACTCTCCTCGACTACAATCATGCGTGAAATCGTTCATGTGCAAGCCGGTCAATGCGGCAACCAGATCGGATCAAAGGTAAACCGTTTTTCAAGTAGAGGTACTTTAGGCAAATAATGGACTGCTCAGTATCTAAATGGCTCCAATCAATAGGTTTCGAGTTCCCCTTTCTTTCAAGCGAGAGTATTGGATTGAGCTAATAGTGGACAGCGATGAGTCATCGTAGTATTCGTTGCAGCGCTGCACTGGTACCACATCAATGACCGCCGTCTATATAAATTTCGTAGACGAAAAACTAGTACGGAGCGATGGAATCCAAAAAGTAATATGGGAGCGATTTCGAAATGCGATATGCCGTAATCGTTCTCCCAGTCGACCGTAATGTTTACGCGCAGAAGTATTTAGGTCATCATATTGGTACTGGAATCAATAATACTTTACGGTGGAAACAACTGCTATTTGAGAAGTGGATTTCGAAAGATAATGGCAGAAGAACTCTGTTCCGAGTCTGAGTGACTCACGGGAAGAAGCCTTGTTAAGTGCGGGTGTCATTAGTGAACAATCTATGGAAGACTCACTAGGGGAGTTACAACTGCTGCATTGTCTTACCGGAAGACTGCTGCAGTCCTTAGCAGAGAATTCCATTAATTTCTCTGCTTCTTGATAATCACGAGTATGGTCAGCACCAAGGTGACGGTGCCATACCTTCTCCCTACAGAAATTAGCTCTGCGCATCAAGTTACTATAGGTACTGTCGAACACCGGAACTATTTGGTCAGTCAGTAACATTGGCATATTTCCAGTTCTGGGAAGTGATCTCTGATGAGCACGGTATCCAGCCCGATGGAACATACAAAGGAGAATCAGATCTGCAATTAGAAAGAATCAATGTGTACTACAATGAAGCACATGGTAAGCTTGATTCGCATTCCTTGTTTATGTTTTTAATGTTTGAGTGCAAAGGTATCTTGCTTTTTTGATTAGCATTGGTCTACCTGCACACGTTACGTGACCAAACAGTTACATTATTCTATGAAGCATGGTCGTTCCAAAAATTTTACTAAAACTGCAAGGTTTCACAGTTCGCAGCGTTCCATCACGTTGGGAACACGCCGTTACTACTTTTGACGTACCCTGCGCTGGAAATCGAAAATATGAATTTCCCCTAGACGTATGCAGTGCATGTCTGGTTTTTCGATTTGTGAGCAGGCTAATGTGAGCCATCAACCGCGCTGAGGTGGAGCGGGCTCGACGCCTATATGGCAATAAGTAGTGCTGCGTATTATTGGTCCCAGGGCAACGCGTTCCACTTTCTATTTTATGCGGCCTTTAGTAGACAGAAGGATCCTGCATGCCGGATTGATGTGCAAAGGGCAGATCGTCGTTTAAGCGCGCATGATAACTTGAATTGATCGTGACAGCTGCACTAAAAGCTTTGTGATAGTTGAACTTAGACTTCCCAGAGTGACATGGTCAGTGGTGGTTTATGTCATTCGTTTGATCACCCATGATTCGTTATTGGAAATGTATGTGCATTCGTTCTTCAGGAGGCAAGTATGTTCCACGTGCTGTTCTTGTTGATCTCGAGCCTGGAACGATGGACTCAGTTCGTTCTGGACCGTATGGACAGCTTTTCCGTCCAGATAATTACGTGTTTGGCCAGTCAGGAGCGGGTAACAATTGGGCGAAGGGCCACTATACTGAGGGAGCCGAGCTAGTTGATAACGTATTAGACGTTGTCCGCAAAGAAGCTGAAGGTTGTGATTGCCTTCAGGTACTGCCTTCATCTACAATTTACAGCTTCAACTTTAATGAGTGAATATATTTCAATGCGTACTTAGGGCTTCCAATTGACGCATTCACTTGGAGGAGGCACTGGATCTGGAATGGGCACTTTGTTAATTTCAAAAATTCGTGAAGAGTACCCTGATAGAATTATGGCTTCGTTCTCCGTTGTTCCATCACCCAAGGTGAGATCGATTCTCTTTTCCTAAGTTGTGTATGGTTGTGTATTTGAATTATTTAACCTCATGAAAAACTTCACTTGAAATAGTCTCACCACCTGTGAACATGCGAAAGGGAGATGTTTTAAGGTGTCCGACACTGTCGTAGAACCCTACAATGCTACCCTTTCCGTCCATCAACTGGTAGAGAACACCGATGAAACATTCTGTATTGACAACGAAGCTCTGTATGATATCTGCTTCCGCACTTTGAAACTCACAAATCCAACCTATGGAGATCTCAACCACCTTGGTAAATGTTGTTACACTTGCTAAAGTACACTTAGACTCTTTTTACATACTGAAAATGTGCAATTGAAGTGTCTGTCACAATGTCTGGAGTCACGACCTGCCTTCGATTCCCTGGACAACTGAATGCTGATCTTCGCAAGTTAGCTGTTAACATGGTTCCATTCCCTCGTCTTCACTTCTTCATGCCCGGTTTTGCTCCACTGTCTGCAAAGGGTGCTCAAGCATATCGCGCTTCGACAGTTGCTGAGCTTACACAGCAAGTACGCACATTACTCTTTATAGCGTAGTGATTCAAGATTACAGCCACCCATATTCTTAGATGTTCGATGCAAAGAACATGATGGCTGCCTGTGATCCTCGCCATGGACGTTATCTTACGGTCGCTGCTATGTTCCGCGGTCGTATGAGCATGCGGGTGAGTACTTTTAAATGTTTTTTTTTTCATAGAGTGAACGAGCTCCTCTAAATCATGGCGGAGCCAGAAATGAGTGTGTCAGAAGTAGTGTTCTATGTGAGCTGTTTTCAAAAACTTATATTTCATTGAGTGGGTCAGGACTTCTACATGGCAAGCCTGATGTTTTATAGATGCGCGCTATGAGTAGCAACCAAATATAGTTTCTATACGATTGGCTCTAAGAGTTACTGAAATAGTGGTGTAACTAGTTAGCGGTTACTGGTACCCACGCAGGAGTAATGAATGATGCAGGTATGGCATCTGCTATAACTCAAATCGCAGTACTATTGTAGCTTTGGAGGGATCTGCAGCATTTCTCGCTACCGTAGCCCGCATAGTTTTCTTTAAGCGAAACGGGCAGGCTATTGTGGTTTTTTGGGGATTTTTCTGAAATGCAGCAATCAATTGTAAAACTGCGATGTGATTGTATGATCGGTTCATTGCAGTATTTTTGATCATAGAGATAAGAAAATATGGTGTGGAAGGTCAACTGCCTCATTTCAGGAAGTAGACGATCAGATGATGTCCGTACAGAACAAGAACTCATCATACTTCGTGGAATGGATTCCAAACAACGTCAAGACTGCCGTTTGTGACATTCCTCCTCGTGGACTGAAAATGGCGGCTACGTTCGTTGGTAACTCGACTGCTATCCAGGAGCTGTTCAAGCGTATTTCGGAGCAATTCACTGGTTTGTATTTATCTATGAGCTGTAGTACGTGAGTGCTTTTTGATTCGTACACTCTTCACCGCTTCAGCCATGTTCCGACGCAAAGCTTTCCTTCATTGGTACACTGGTGAGGGTATGGACGAAATGGAGTTCACAGAAGCTGAGTCGAACATGAATGACCTTATCTCCGAATACCAGCAGTACCAGGTCCGTATCATCTTATCCCAGCTATGTCTCAGCCTGTTCTTGGCTTTTCATTTTTTATCTTTCCAGGAAGCTACCGCTGACGATATGGGCGATCTCGATGCAGAAGGCGGAGAAGAGGCATATCCCGAGGAGTAGTGATCCACAAAGTTGTGCTCTTTTTCCTGTGTCAATGCGAAATACACATTGGTTGCGTTGTGTATGGTGTTATTAAAGCTTGCTAATTGATAAAGTTAATGAAGTTTACAAAGGTATTCGATGATGAAATGGTCAATGAGCTTCGAAATTAAACGATTAATGGACTATTAAGAAGGGGCCGTTTGTGGAAAATAGCAGGGATTAGGTCCTTGTTTCGGTATGAGACCATTCCTATCATCATTAGTCACCATGGCGTGCACTGATGGGTTTGTGTGAAGGTTACAAGAACGGGGTCTCTTCTGCAAAGCTAACATTCGTGATGGGAAGAGCAGTCGTCTATTTGTCTTACGCTTAAACCGGTGTGTATACTGGTTATTTCCGTTCACAGGCGACCTTCCAATTCTGATGTGGGAGGTGATCATCTGAAAACATCGTTCTTGTGGAACAGAATCACTCAACTGAGACACCTCTCAGTTTACGAGCACGAGCAGTCGGACGATGTTACCTCCCATTCATCATATTCCATTTAGAGGGAACGGAAGAGATTCCAAAACTTATTGAAAGCAAACTCGAGCTAATCTCTTCGATAGTTGCTCGCTTCCAAGTTTTCCAGTTTTTATCGATGGCGCCCCGCTGACAACAATCAACCTTCACCTCGCGTTTTCGGTTCTACCGCGCTAGCAGATTGATGAAGGACAGCGACCACCGGTTGAACTTCAAAAGGTCGACAAAACAACGTTAAAACCCAAGGTATGGCATTTAGGGATGGGCTACAGTGAATGACAGAGTGATCACACTTAAGAATAATGTTGTCAATTGTTGTTAATTTAGCTTTCTACTGGTTTTCCTGTAATCGAATGCTATTTTTACAAGAAGATGCACACGCGGGCAGAGGCCCTTGTTCCGATGTCGAGTGGCTATACTCCTCTCCTGAAAGGATTTCGTCCTCTGTTTGAAATTCGCGCGCAAACCAGAGTTACTGTTCTGCACTTGTCTGCGCTCTCTCGTCGAACGAACATTTACGATCGCTCTATCAGGTAGTCTCCAGCTTTCCACAAGGTATTAGCAGCTCACCTCTTCAAGCATCTCTCGATTCGACCTACAGTATGCTTGCTGATCGTTGAATACACCCAGCTGACTTCGCTTACGTCTACCCTAGTCGTCTACGCTCTCGCCCCTAAGGGAATAGAGTTGAGGGCTCAAGTTGTATCGGAACTCTTCTGGGAATATCATCTCTTCCAGGGCAAGGTACGTCACGATACAATTCAAAGTGCAAATATTGATTGTTTACAAGTTTGGTGATTTGCTTTTGTGCTTCTCCGAAACTAAGGTAATTATTATTCAGGAGACTGTGTTCAGGGGAATGATGCTCTATTCCTCCTGCCAACGAATGGATTAATCTGTCTGAAATATAAAGGATGAAGCCTTTCGACGTAAATGAGGCCGTTTCTGGGATGCGCCCTCGCCTCTATTTCCATTCAGAAACATGGAAATGACTTCTGAATGGAAGTGCCACCGCACTGTACGATAACTTACACTGGCTAACCGAAGTACTATTCAATTCATTTACCGTTGCAGACCGATTAACCGCGAAGAGGTCTAGAAAGTTCGATGGGGTGCTTCACAATCAGTACGCTCGCGGTGTTCATGCTGCGCGGTGACGCGAGTTCGCGATGACGCCTTTTGACTCTAACTAGTACCTTGTAGTAAACACTACCACTTCTCCTAAATGATGACTATATGATATCTACAGGTTTTTCGAGGGATTAGTGTGTTTTTTTGTGTCCATAGTCACTCAGGAGTTTTTTGTTTTTCTCAGTTTTTTTTTTGTTAATTTCTTCATTATCCAGTCTTTCGAACCTTTATCGTAATATATTATCGTTACTTATCCTTCCCGCAGATTCTCTGATTTTCCAACGATAGAGAGTGACATGTCTTGAGCTCGCGGACTTCCTGCTACACTTCTGATTTGAATTTGAAGTGCCATTGCAGACGCATATTCCTATTCTATGTTATCCTATCTGGCAGTACCAATATAATGGATTCGGACAATGGTGGAACGTCAACCGAATCTGTTTGTTCTTCAATGGGCACAATTAACACTTCATCAGAAGTGACCGACAGCTCAGTCCTTTCCGACTTGGAAGAAAGGTGAGCTCAGCTTTTATAGTAGGGCGTTTTCTGTCTCGATTGCGAAGACACAGAAAGAGGGGGATTAGAGGAAGGAATTCGAGTTTTATTGATTGTTAATCACCTACCTTTATACGTTTACAGTTGTCGGTATGTCTTATACTTAACCATTTCTTTAGGCAATTTCCGTGGCCTATGGTGGATACACCCACAATAGCAGAAATTGATTTTGGATCGCTTTCAGAAAATTATTCCGCACCATTGTTTATTTACTTTTACAAAGACACTTGTGGAAACATCGTCTCACGAATTTGTGGTAGGGTTTTTTTTCATAATTTTTTTCTAACATAGACAGTATCTTATCAGAAGTTTTTTTGAGATTTCTTTGATGTCCCTCTTAATGAAGCTGTGAAAGCACTGAACGCTCAATCCCATTACAAGCAAAGTGACAACTTGGTGGTTAGGTTTGATGCCTGTCGTGAAGAAGACGTTGAAACACTTCTTGTAAGTCGGTCAAAATTCAAACTGATATCTGCTCTTCGGTCTGCCTTAATCGTTTTCAGCCTATTCTTAAACTATTGCTCTCTCACTGTGACTTAGACCGTTACACTCTTATATGGAAGCGTTGTGCATTATTGATGGTTGACTACAAATTTGCTGCAAAAGTTGTAGAAGTTCTAGTTTTGTTTACAGAAAGGTAAGTCATGTGGTCTTTTACTCTACAGTGCATAGTGCTGAAATGAAGCGGAACCTAATTCAACGAGGATTTTAAAAATTGTATGCACACATAGCCTTGCTGTCTGGCATCAAATTTCGCTTTTTTTCCTCCTTCAGAAGTCAGAAAAGTCTTATGTAATATATTGTGCCATACAACTCTTCCAGTCCAACAAATCAGGTTCGAGTCATCTTCCAGCTTCTAAAGAAAGCTAAAAATTCAAGACGTAAAGCGAACAAGGATATGGGTCCCTATCTAACCATTTGCAGTGAAACCTGGAAAATTTTTTGTTTTTGTTTTTTCCCGTGTTGGGACCAAGTTGTGAGCGAAAGAGATTTTTTGGGACGAATTAACCGTTAGCCGAAGCATATGACAGTTATCTTTGTGACAACAGCCCGCAGTAATGAGGGTGTCTGCTAAATGCTTCCTTGCTTCGCACCAGCCCACGTTTCCTAAGTTTCCCTCGAAGCGCCGCTGTCTTATGGGTGTTGCTTACGAAGACACAAGGGTACCTAGAGCTTCAGCTGAACTGGATTTCGATTCTGTAGTTTTCAGGTTAGCTGAAATGAACATAGGTTCGGTGCATCTCATAAAGGAGCAGCGTCAACGATGTGTTAGTTTTTCCTTTTTTTTTTCGTAGTGCCGTCGAGTGCATTTCTAAAGCTGGCAGTGTGTTTAGAATTGTGATGAAGAAGCAGAATGTCTTACTGAGCTGCTGAAGATTTGGTTAGGAAACTGTAAGGATTCTGTGAGGTAAATTTATTGTTTTATTATTTTCAATTCTTCATCAGATGCTGTCAGTTCATTGCTGATCTCGAGCGCTTCGATAACCTTTTTCAAATTTCGTGAACTCTTGATGAACATCTCCCGGCATCAGTTCATTTTATTCTTATTTGATTAGTCTTTCGTTTATGTAAAAAATGTTGCTCATATTGAAAACTGTAAACAACCTAAGCTCAGCAGCTTACAAATTTTAGATGTCTTCGTATATTTGCTTTTGTTCGACTGGATTTTGAATTCTCATGTCTTGTATCAAATTGTACATCACTAACACATCTCTCACTTGCCAGGGTAGGCTCTTTATAGTTCTTCATCAGCATTTAATCTCATAGGAATATCTTTTTTTAATAGGCTTCAAATCAGTTAGCCAGCTTTGATGGGCGCTTCATTCCTGACCAGTCTCGAAAACTGAGTTTGCAACTTTTCTCAATGTTATTTATCAATTTCAAAGTAGTCTGGAGATTTCCGATTTTTGAGTTTTCCTTGTTGGACTACTGGGATTTTAGTAGTAGGGGTGGGGAAGTAGGCTTCACCTTAAATATATTGGGGAGAATTTCAGAAGGAGGGCTCGATTGGCAAAGTGAGAATTTAATAGGGTCTTGGATATATAATAAATAACCATATTATGTGAGGCCTTGTAATGCACTGCCGACCAGACTTACGATATCATATAATACGAGTTGCGGCGTTCTTTATACACTTTCATCTGGCAGCAGGGTTGTTGGTCTTTTGAATTAAACATCGCGCTTGCCCTCTGGTACTAGGCTGAGCCATTAGTCGACAGCCTTTCTTGATGTTCAAAAAGATCGATTTCAGTTCACCTGGATTGAATTTCCTGTATTTAATACGATTCATTCATTCGAATTTAATGGATGCGGAATGGCCTATACGGAACAAGACTTATCTCTAGCCAAGGTAGAGTTGATTACTTCGTTTAACTTTCCCGTGTTTTGCTCCTATTTAAGATTGTCGATTGATTAGGATTGATCTTAAAAAGTGATTCATGGTAACGGGTGACTCATAATGATTTGAAAAGCATAAATGAGATGAATAACAATAAGTGGAGTTATTGGTTAAAAGGAGTAAGAATAAATATACAGGAAAACTATAGGAACTATATTTCTCTTTATTTACCCCTGCTCTTTTTTTTTCTNAAATGAGATGATTAACAATAAGTGGAGTTATTGGTTAAAAGAAGTAAGAATAAATATACAGGAAAACTATAGGAACTATATTTCTCTTTATTTACCCCTGCTCTTTTTTTTCTCTAAAACGGGCAAGCTGACAAAATGAAGCACTAAGTTCGATGAGAAAGGATGTCTCTCGATTTGAGGGGAGCCACTTTAAGTCCTTGTTAAACGCAGTAATTGAAGTTGCTATGTTTCAGAATTTGGTGAAGTACTTTCCATCTGTTAAAGTTATAGCATATCGTGAAGTGTGCTTCGATCCTGTTATAACATCAGTAATCAAGTTTGTTCATATCTACGTTTTCATTTACTTTCATTCTCTGACAGTCGATATATCAAACTCAATGTGATGCAGTGCTGGAAGTATGTGTATTCATAAGCTCAGCCATGGTCGTTCTCGTTGTGATTTTATGCCTTATTTCGTGATAGTTCATTAAGTAGGCTCAAGAAGAGTTCACCTCCTCAAGGTCACTACCAGGCGGAAACACAAAAAACCTTCTACTAAAGTCCTTGATCGTGACATTTATAGATCGCATGATGAATTTCCTTCTTATGCCGATATGAGTTTTCATTCCTGAAAGGCCAAGGACGGCTGCTTAGCACAGTTGACTTGAACATCCCAGTAGTTACCACATACCATCGTTCGCAAAGCCCCGATAGATGCATGTTTGATTACGAATGGGACTAGATTTATTCTTTTTATGGGTTTGTAAGAGCTTTATTTTTGCCAACACATTTAGCTATGAATTTAGGGAGAATGGGCATTCAGATGGCTGAAAATAACAAAAATTTGCTGCAATGCTGTAGACTACTGCTTTTGCAATATACATCCCTCTTTTGGTTCCCTTCTAGATATGACTGCTAGGAAAAGGGTCTGAATAGCATGCCTATGCAGCTTGTTCAGTTTCCTGACTTTTCATCAATCCTCGGTTTTAACAATAGAGCATCCAGCTTTTCGTTAGTAAGTGATATTCAAAAAAGAGATCGCTTTACTTTTTTTCAAAAGGGGGTAAACCGTAAACCTGGGCAACAGCGTGTATCCCTTTTTTTACGTGAGTCGCTTCTTTCATAGTCCACGATTTTGCGAGCGACCAGCCGCGCGACTGGTCGCCGGTCGCTCGCGAAATGGGTCTGCGACCAGTCGCGCGACTAGTCGCGTGACTGGTCATGGACTATGAAAGCAGCCAGTATAGGCACAAACTCAGGGGTCGTTGGTAAACGCAATAAGTAAGGTGCTCTTATGTGTATGCCTAGGATTGCTGTCGAAATCGATCTAGTCAAAGTACTTTATAGTTGTAGATCTTCTAGGCCTGGGTCGAATAAATAGATGAAATATACCTTAGGATCCAGAGGCTCAGTTCAAGATAATTTCGGGGATCTGTTTCAAGAAGAATAATGAAGGGGTAATCCAGAGTAGCGCAAAAGTGGGGAAGAAAACACAAAAATCGGCCACTTGGGGAAATATAAGGTCTGAAGAAAGTCGTAAAACTATGGGTTGGACGAGAATCTGACGATAAGAGTTGCATAGAAGGCGTACTTGGACGAGGTGTGCAGATATGGGGTGCCAATGCGACAGCTGGCTACGGTAAGCTGCCTGAATGCAGATCCCAAAAGAACCTTTCCTTGTGTTGTCTTTGGTTGTCACAGGTACACGTTCATCCCAGACAGGAATTCGAGAATCCCTTTTCGTAAACAGTGCCTTTTATGGGACTTATCGTAATGTATTCTTTCATGGCAAAAACATTGAGAGTTTTGCCTCAACTTAGTGGCCTATACCTCAATGGTCATGGGAGGATATGGTGGGACTGGGATTGAATTTCTACTGTGTAGCCTCTAATCTTGGATTCAATTTCACGTAACTGCATCTGTCGTAAGCTAAAAAGAGATAGCGACGTGTTTCATATTTTCAGGCATCTGATAAGAACAGGGCAACGATTTGATTTCTACCAGATTGTTTCCCTTCAACAGTGAGTAATCCCAATTTTTTTCAGTTATTAAGTTTTAGATCTTTCTGAGAGCACAAATTTAATCTACGATATCGGATATGGAAACAAACCAAGTTACTCATGTCCAATCCTTTCTCGTTTTTTTCCGTTTGCCCATTAGCCCAAGCTGAGAATATGAGCCAAAGTAGAGCGGAGTTGTTGGCTCGCGCAACAAAGAGAAGTGCAGCCGTTTCCGGTTCCTACTCTGATCCCATTGCATTTTATCATTATTAGTTCGAGAACCAGTTCTAGTTGCAGTATGCAACAACGGCCGGTAACATTTTTCGTGCTTACGAGTGCACACGACCGCGGGGTAAAACAATCATCAGCTGTTCCAATGGAGCCACCCGATGCCACCAGAAGACATTACTTTTGTAGAGCTAGGGGAATGTTGAGCCATTCTAAATGCATGACCGACGGTTTTTTTGCACAGATAAGCCACTCCCGCTGTTAGGTTAGCAACTTCGCCAAATTGAATTCTTTATCCAGTTCTATTCCCCTACTGAAGGAGATTTGCCATTGAAACGCTTATGCAGTTGTCTAGAGAGCTAACCACCTTAAAATTAGTTTTGAGGCGCTTGAAAATGAAAATTGGAGTTTAGTAGGTGCATAATATGTGGAGAGAGCCATCGGTAACTATCCCATGAGCTGGCACTTGCTTTGCTCCAGACTGTTTGTGAAACATAGATGTTAACGTATGATTCTTGTTGATACTCTTTCATGTAGACTCACTCACCTAATTCTTTACAACCTTCTCTAGTGAAATTCTTAGCTAAGAAAGGAGTAATTACCATTTTTATCTAATCTCAGTCAGATGTGATATGATATAACTTGGATATTTCAGATTCGTGACTCTGGTGAAAGCGGCTTTCACCGTCAGACCGATTAAGGATAAATATGTAGAGCTGGTGAGCGAAAGATATGGCACACGTCTGTTGGTTTATGATAATCATCAAATCTATCGCACACCGGCATGATTCTTCCATTGGTGCTGTATAATTGAGCCTAGAAAACTTGCTTTTTCGCATAATTCGAGGAGCTCACAAATACCGGTTACCGTAGACAGTACTCGTTGTCTTACCAACATTAATTCTTCTTGTTCATTTTCCGATTTTTCCCACTTCTTTATAAGTTTTTTTTTGTGCAACGCAGGCTTTGTATGTGCCATTCACAGCTCAAACAGCTTACAATTGGATCGACAAGTGTTCGAATCTCGATAGGAATGTCATGGATTTTTCGATTCATTGCAGTGACTTAGTTAGTTATGGAACTGGAATCAAGTCTATCGTGTAGTTAGGGAATCTCCCGAATCAATCACTGCATACTGTTTCTCTATCTCATTCCCTCTTCCTTTCGTTCTCTCTTTCTCTTTCTCAGCCCCTCTCTCTCTGTTTTCTGCAAGTTTCTCTGAAATTGGGTTAGTACAGTTTCATCAAAGTCATCATGAACTGAAGAGGTTGCTATGTTGTTACTTTCTACCATCACCACGCACCACGACCACGCATCTGTAAAATATCATCTGTAATACATGTTTTCTGTGAATTTAATTTTTTTAAATATTTTTTTTGTTATTTGCTTAGGAAGCAAAATTCTGTTTCAAATAATAATAAAACTGTTATGAAGAGATGTCTTCTGGTTTGAGCTTGATGAACTGCCTATTTTGTGCAGCAAATGTATGTATCTGTGCGACAGTGGAGTGTAGATCACCATATTTCTACATTGAATTGCAGCGATGTTGGACAAACCTGTTGGAAATCGGAGCAAAGTGCGATCGACAATAGCGACGGCAACACCCGATGTCAAGGTTCGTGACTGATTTTTAGCATTGACCATAAAATTGAAAAGATTTGAGTTGAGGGGACTTAAAAATTCAGAATCTTGATCAGAAAAAAATGTGGTAGGCCAGTAGCAATTTTTAGAATTAACTCCGTTCCCTTTTCTGTCGGAAGAGTTCGCACTTGGCCATCCCTTAGTTCACAGATTACACAGGTAAGCTGGTCTGCACGACTTCTGGCAGGCACGATTATCAACTGGTTCGCTGCGATTTCACATTCATGTTTATTACATAGGGTCCCAATAGCGTACCCAATGAGAGTAGGATTGCTTTTATGATTACCATCTCACGTCCTTTTTTTCGCCGATTTATCAGGGACCGATGCTGACGATTATCTTGTCCTCCGGAGTTGGAACGCGTTTTAAGTTTGTTTCAGATTTGTAGCATAGCAACTTGTGAATAGAAGGTGTCGATTGTTTGGAATTTCTTTATTCTCAAATCTATCTGAATAGAGGTGGTGTAGTGGCAAGTGAAGTAATATTATGCATGCATGGTCTAAGGATTGAATCCTGTATGTATATCGCTCAAGCCATTCCTCTAGGATCGGATAAGGTACCAGACCCCTCCAAGATGATGAAGACCCTGACTAGTCGGCATCGGCAGACCACCGCGAGTCACATAGGCCACATAGGCATCTTTCATAGTCCACGGTTTTGCGAGCGACCAGTCGCGCGCCGGTCGCGGACTCATCTCGCGAGCGACTGGCGACCGGTCGCGCGACTGGTCGTGGACTATGAAAGCAGCCATACGTTTTAAGGGCGCCACGGCGATTTTGAGGGAGAATTGAATGTGAGGGTGCACAAAAAGTGTTCGATGAACGCCTAAGGTTTTATTCCCTATTTTTCACTAAAGCTGTTATTCAACAATGCTCAACTGGAACTAGTGCTACTACGTTAAACACTTTATTCAATTCTGCTGAATATACCGTAGGAATGGAGAAAAGGAATGTATCACACAATCACAACAAGTTCTCAAATCAATAGAGACAATACTCCAATTTGGGCATCTCTCCGTGCCTGTGTTGTGCAAAATCTGAAATTTCATCACCATCGTTTTCTTAAGAATGATTGGGTACGAAATTGAGTTTTTGCCGATCTCCCTGACCTGTTGGGTGAATTTATGATTGATGTTGAAGAATTTATTTGATTGTGCAGATAAGATAAGCTGGGATGTAATTTAGGGGAATTTTTATATTTAGCAAGTATTCCTCAGTAGCAGATATTTATGAGAGGATCAGTAGAACGGGGTCAGTTCAAGCGCGGTCGCGTTGCACTGTAGTGGGGTGGGGGATGACGCCACAGTGTATTATATATGCTATTTTGTGTACAAATGAGTGTGGGATCTCAAATACAAATTCGGTCAACGCCAAACTATTTCCCAAAGTCATTCCTACCGTCGTCCCTGAACACCATCAATACCAAGCCAGTACATGTAAGCCAGAACAATCTCTAGAGATCATATACAAGTGAAGCCGGAGCTCCATCGCTCGCTACCCTGCCCCCATGATCAGCAATGCATTGGGGAGAAGCTTGTCTGTCATGCAATCATCATCTGCTTGCCCTGTTTAAGACAGCATATCCCTCGTTATGTTATCTTACGACACCCTTCATTTCAATTCTTTCTAGGCCTTGAGATAGATTATGTGCTATGACATGTTCCAGTAGGCCCAAAAGCTACCATCTCGTTCTACAGTAGTCAGTTTCAGTATTCCGCTCATGGAATCGAAATGGGAGCGGGAAAGGTCCCAAAAAAGTTTTTACTTTTCTTTATAAGAGCTTTTGCCCTTATGTTATGTATGCCCTACATGTCAAGTTGCAAGCACTTAGCTGGGCTTGGTCCCCGACCGTGCTTCTGACTACCACTAATTCAAAAATCTCAAGCAGTTCCAGAACTTCGTTGACTTCGATTATTTCGGAATCTTTTTTTGTCTCTCAACCTTCTCCTCTCTGGTGAGGAGATAGCTCTCCTCCTCTCCGATTGAGTAGAATTGTAAGGTTATTTTAAACATTTACATATGTGAGTGAGTTGAGACTTCTGTCCCATTCCCACTGCTCCTACCGTATTCGTATTCAGTGTTGCGAAGCTGGACAGGTCGTAGGCAATGAATAGTTCGGTGAAAAGTGTTGGGAAACAGTGAACAGAATCCTACTACCTACTTCACCAAAGCTCCACCTTTTCACCTCGCGTGCCCCGTGCTTTCTGTCATCAACTTTGATCACTATACCCTATCCCATTTGGAAGGTTTTTTGGAAGCTTACAGTTCATGCCCATATGTCTTTTTCATAGCTCCTTATAGAAGTGAATCTCACTGAACGGCGTGTTTTTTTTCATTTGCTTTTAGTGCTGATAGTGAATTATAAATTCCTCTCGTGTATGGTAACATATTGTATGGGTCCTTTTGTCGATGCTGGTGGCTTTGAGTTTAAAACCCGAGTAGAAATTTAAAAGTTACGCTGAATATGTATATTTCAGAGCTTTTCTGGAACTGCGAGCGGTCACTCAATTATAAAATACATAATTCTCCGTATTTATGCTTGCTTCAGGCTTTCCCAGACTTTAAACTTTATCGGGCTAATGTTTCGGCAAGTTCGCCTTCGTCAGAGTCTGAAAGTCGAAAAATCTTGAGACTGATTCTCTTATCAGTTTAGATAAATCTAGGATGACCATAGAAGACCCCCCACATCCCGTATACAAGAGGCTTACCTTGACCTAAGTGCATCTTGGATCAAGGATCAAAGTAAGCCTCCTGCATACGGGCCGGGGGTCTAGTCTAGGCAACTGTCTTAAGTTTATCTTGCCTTATGAGAAAGTCAGCCTCAAGGGTTTTCAACTTCCATGCTTTAACGAAGGCGAACTTGCCGAAACGAAGACCTATGGAGTTTAAATCCTAGAGGGGCTGAAGCAAGCATACATACTAGTCAAAGGTCATGAGAAAGTCGATCGTGGCATAATTCTCAGTATCAAACCTTTGTCAAATGCGAATGTAGTTCGTGCGAATACTTTCAAAGTCGAATGCGTGGGCGCATCCCTCAGACGGGATCAATTGATGCCCCAAAACTTTATCCTTTTATCGAATCTTTGGGGTCTAACTGGCCAAAAGATAGCATACGGCACACGTGATGAAGGGTCCCCTCAAAATGGTACATCATCTCGAAACCATGAAAACAGCTCTCTGTGATTACTTCTGTGTTATATTGTGTTTTACTTGAACGTATCCAAGTTTCGTGGTCCTCACCTGTACGGAAGTGATAGCCCCCAACTATTTTCTGCAGTGGTTCCATCCGCTGCCTTGTTATCGAGAAAATTCTCTTTGATAGGGCCAGACGATACTTCAATCATCGTCGTGGTAGACACGGCATAATTATGGGATCATGTAAATGTTCCCGAGAGCTTTTTGTCGATCATTCTCTGATTCTACCCTATAGATAAAGTGCAAGCGTCTTGAAATCACAAACCTTCAAAGGAAGAAATCGTTGTGCACATCGTCCATCACCCTTAACGCATGTGCTTTCACCACAAATCACCTCATTAAGTATGCGTGGGAAGTAGGTACGAGGAAGATGACGAACCGCTCGGCACATCGAACATAATTGGTACCTGAAAAGCACCATGATTTATGACGGCATTATATAACGTCATTGTATAGTGGTCGACCCATTTTCCCCCCAGTCGTAGGAAGCCGTTTTTGTTATCGTAGTCCATTTCTGCAATTAGCTTGGAAATAAATCTGAAATTTGCATGGGTAATTACATTTATGCTAATTTCGGATTTATGGCAGAGCTGATTCAGGGTGGACAATGACGTAAGGGAAGTCCTTGCAAATACGAAGTCGATTGCAAAGATAGGGTGCACTTTATTATTAAAGCGCTAATTTTCTATAATATTTATGTCAACGGGCGAAGGTGGTGTAGTGACAGAAGCGCACTATCACCCACGATGGTCCAGGGATCGTACTCTGGCTCGATATTAGCCTAGGCCAGCCAAACCTTTTTCTCCAAGGTCAGTAAGTGGGTACCAGATTCGTCTAGGAGGATAAAAGCGCTGACTTAAACGTCTGCTGGCCACCGCAAGTCTTTGCATAGGTCACACACGTCATCCAATACGCCTGCGGTTCTGGATGGCAGTCGGCCTAATTAATGCAAAAGCCATCCTCACAATAGGCGCATCCAAGAAGGATAAAGTCTTGGAGCGTCGATAATCCCGTCTGAGGGATGCGCACCGCTCTTCGACTTTCATTTAGGATCGTGTGGCGTATTGAATGCATATGTAGCCGACGATACAGTGGCTTGCGGTGACCGGCCGATGGTCAGTGCTTATCCTCGCAGACGAGTCTAGCATCAATTACTCCATTCCATAGATAAGAGCGGTTTGAACTACTGGTGAAAAATGAATTGGAATGAAATTGAAATTGGATGCAGTCACCCTCTAACTTGATGGATGGATAAATTAAACTTCGAAGAAGAAGTTAAGAAGAAGCTCCGCCCCTCAACTCTAAACCCCGCCCACTTAATAAACAATTCATATAGAAAAATAGCGGTCCATTAAAATCGCTATTTTTCTACATGAATTGTTTATTAAGTGGGCGGAGTTTGGAATTGAGGGGCGGAGCTTCTTCTAAACTTCTTCTCCGAAGTTTAATTTATCCATCCATCAAGTTAGAGGGTGACTGCATTCAATTTCAATTTCATTCTAACTCATTTTTCACCGGTAGTTTAAACCGCTCTTATCTATGGAATTTTAGGGTAACTGGCCTCGGACGGATGGAAGGCTTGGTTGGCCTAGCCGGATGTCGATACTGGATTTGAACCTGTGGTCAAGCATGTGCGGCAGTGCGCGACTTGCAACTTACCACCTCCGCCTGGGCGCGTTCATAATTTGAAAATTTGAGTCTAGTTTGATTGCGTGGCGCATCCTGGAAGAATTGGCTGTGGGTGATTCATTTTTATCGACGTTTAAGAACTAGTCCTCAAATGAATATCTAATCCTTTCTACACTTTCCTAAGATGTACCCAGTCGTTACGGTAACCTCGGTGAGAGGGTGAGACCTCAGCAGAACTTATTAAGTGAGAGACTAGGTCCCTGGACTCGATAGGACCCTGGAATAAGTAAGCTCTCGATGTTCGCGCCACTTGTCATTGTCCCAGCTGTAGCTGCCTTCAACATCGCAGTAATTCTTTGATTAATGTCTGCAATGAAGTTAATATGAACTTGTATACCAGCCGGTGGTTCTTTATGTCCACCAGATGTTGTACGAATTGATACTTGTCATGCTGAGAGGATGCTGTGAAAGAGTTATTTCTGAAGGCAGTATCGGAGTCTTAGTCACAAGGTTGGCAAGCTATAGACAATCCTTCGGCCTCGGGCGGAACTCGAACCGTACTGTCTACCAGAACACCGCGCTCTTATCTCTTACACTACCGAAACCCCGCTTGTCGTCGCCTTCTTGAAGGCATAGTTCACGTTAAACTTGAGGTATCTATTTTAAGTGAAATAGTGTAAGCCATGGTGCAGAATAATGCAAGCGTGGCGGAGAAAGCACGAAAGTATTTGGGATATAAAAAAAAGATTCAGCATGATAGCAAGAAAGGGGACTGTACGAGATGGCTGCCTGGTCTCTCTCACTTACGCGTACTATTCTTCTCGTCCTGTGAATAGTCAGCGATAACGAGGCCGGCATAACACGGCCACTTTGGGTGTCTGCGTCGGCCAAACCGGTTTTCGAGACCTTATTACGCCTTGTCTGGGCCGTTTTTCTGCCCAACAACGGCTCACTATTTTTGGGAGGCACAGATTCATTCTGGCAGGGGATCTCAGAAGCCATGTTTAATGTGAACTGTGCTTTTAATGGCGTCTGAGTCTTATTGAGTTTTTGAGCCCTCAGATTGTTGAAAAGTGGTAATTCTTGTTTTGTTCCAATCTCAAAAAACGTTGAAAGGCGCCAATGATATCCTACCCAGTGATCCTCGTGAAAACTCGTCCAATTAGAGGGAGGAGTTCACCTAATATTATGTGTCGTCCCCAATGCCACTCTGCATTTCATTTGTCCGTTCGTCACGCTGTTATCGTCACTGGGACGTTTCCATCAGTCTTGTTAACATCAGAGAATATTCGCCGATGATTCAATGCAATAACCATATGTTATTGTGTTGAACAACAAGAAATATCGGCGTTGAATATACGTATGATGTCTTCAAACATAATCAGCCACGATGCGATCGAAGCTCGCCGACGAACACCTCAGCCCGTCCGTTGCATCCGCCGTTCCCCCATGACGAGTAGGCAGTATTATCGGAGCAAGCACGCCCAGACACTAAGGCACTTGTCAGTCTTCATAGGACGCCATAATGAGCCCTTGTCCGAGCAGAAATGACGACGTCAAGGAAATTGACTGCTTTGACGTTACGAATTTTCGATTATGTCCAAAAGTGTCAACAAAACGTTTTATTCGAGCTTCAACGCAGTCTCGGAGGATAATTTGAGAATAATTTATGGGCACATTTTGCACAGGAGTATGGATTCGCATGAGGCCTTGCAAAAGCTTCCTATTTGGGAGGTTTGTAGCTATCCTTTCGGGTTATGCTGCATCTTCAGTTTTCGCTCACAATCCCAGTTGTTTTCTCATGCATTCACGCCTTATGCAACAACTTGATAGGCGTCCCATGTACAGCCTGCTGGTATTCATATTCTACCAAGCAAACCTAGGACCAGTTGGGAGACGTCTTGGAAGATAAAAGAATTGATCAGTTTGGGTAGATTCTGACGAAATAGTATCCCCAAACCTTGTACGGTGTAGCAGCCCTGCTGTTGCAGTATTTCTGTACTGCTGTCGTATTTCTTTCTCAGAATGGCAAATATCCTCTACTGAGCTCCTTTGGAATGTCCAGAAGCAGTTTTGGAACCCGGGGTTCGATTTTTTCTCCAACTTCCTGTAGCTGTTGTTGGGAGCCAGTATACTCTGCAATGTGTCTAACCCCGTTTGAAATCAGGCAGTCAGGGAATTGAATGAGGTGCGTGTAAGGACCAAATTGCTACTGCTCGGTATCGCCAACAGTTTTCACTGATGAGCATGCTTTCCACGAAAGACAGTGCCTCATCAGAGTGAACAGCAATTTCTGATATGCCCGCCCATCCGCCCACTTGTCTTAGCAACCTCTGCAACAAGTGTCTGCAAATTAGGTATCCTTTTTGAGCCATGGCCTGAGGCAGGGGGAGGAGAGCATTCGCAGAAACAAGCCGAGCTTGTCTGTCGTATAGAAAAATGTTCTTCAGTCGATAATTAGAGGATGCTGCACAAAATTAGTTATGATGAAGGCTGGTGATATCATGTGGTAGTTACCATAACTACAGCAGCAGGGTGGCTGAAAAGTTAACAGAGACTCTTGCAAAATTAAATTTCCTTTTCAATATAAGGGCCAAGAGGGAGGGGTGACGGAAAAGGCGCTGGTATTGACGTATTTGACCTAAGGTCCGATTTTGGATTCACAGCTATACAGCAGAAAGCGTCTAGTGCTCTGCACTTGCTCCAGAGATCAAGTAGAGACATTATGTTTCAGTAATAGAGTTGAAAATTACGTTTAGCGGGCTTTATACATTGGGTTCCTATATTGCTAGTAAACTGTACTATTCAGTGAGATTCTTACTTGAAATTGGGCGAATGTCGCTTATCCTACCTAAGCTTCGGAGCTTACCAATAAGAACCTCGTTGGAGTTTTCAGACTCAGCCAGCAACTTTTTGTGCGTGGAATGTAGGAGCTACTTCTGGGAGGGTGTCGAAATAATGTAGTGATCATGGCCTTTACCTTGAAAGTTGATGGTAACAATTCATGATTTGAGCTAATTAACTTTCTTTGATCAATATCGTAAAGGCTACAACTAACTACCAGCGTAACCTTAATCGAAGGTTACCCTAATCGCGCTCGGAAAGTGGAGACTAGAACCAAGTCTGTTTGAAAGTAGGCTATCTCATACACACATACCATGGTAGAAGGTGGTAATCTCAATGGTATCGATCAAAGAAATTAATTAGCTCGAATTTTAAGTTGTTACTTCCCAGGTAAGGGCCATGATGAGTACCTCATTTCGACATTGTCCCAAAAGTATAATAGTTCCTAAATCCACACACAAGAAGTGCAGTCAGAAACTGAAAACTCTATTAAGTTTCTTATCGATAGGCTGCAAAGCTCCAAAGCTCACGATGGGTCACGCGAAATTCACTGAATAAGACGTATCCTTGGAAGTGCCCAACTTCATCACTGATGTTTTGTGCACTCATTGTGCCCGGCGCTATTAGTTTTTGCTAACACGGGGATTTGTTAGGCTGTGGGACTTGTGGACCGGCAACCGGCCTTAGAATAATCCACTCAGGTGATGGTTCTCTTGCTTCGAGAGTTCATCATTCGCTTTTGAATAGCGATTTTTGGTGGTGACTGTAATGATTATCAGAAACGAGCAGATCTTCAGGTTTCAGTTCGACCTTCAGCAGCCAAATCTACTCTTCACAGCGTTGACCGTTCAGATGATCGTTCAGAACTTATCAAAAATCATTTCTAGTCAATTCGAGAGTGATTTCCGGTGTAACATATGACCGTGGTAGCACGGTGCGCGCTAGCGA